CCAACAATTATGATATCAAGACTTTGTTGAAAGCCATGATTGAATCTGGGGGTGGAAGTGCTTCAGATTTAATGCACTTGGATACTTTACAGCGCGTGCTATGGGAGTTGCTAAACAACAAAAGATATTTGCTTGTATTGGATGATGTTTGGAACGAGGATCAAGAGAAGTGGTCTGAATTAAGAAATGCAATGTCGTGTGGCTCAACTGGGAGTTCAATTATTGTCACTACACGCCTCAAAAAGGTTGCTGACATAATGGGAACACTGCCACCACATTACTTAAAGGGATTGTCAAACGAGCATTGTTGGATGTTGATGCGTGAACGAGCATTTGGACATGAGAAAGAGGAATTTCCAAGCCTGGAAGCTATTGGGATGCAAATTGTGAACAAGTGTGCTGGTGTTCCTCTAGCTGCTAAGGCGCTCGGAGGTCTGTTGCGGTTTAAGAGGACTGAGAAAGAGTGGAATTATGTAAAAGAAAGTGAAATATGGGAATTACCTCATGAAGAAACTCTGATACTACCAGCCTTGAGATTGAGTTACCATCATCTCCCTTTATCATTGAGACAATGTTTTGCTTATTGTGCAGTTTTTCCCAAGGATACTTTTATCCGGAAAGAAGAGTTGATCTTTATGTGGATGGCGCATGGCTATATTTCATCAAAGGGAGCATTGGAAGTGGAGGATGTTGGCAATGGCATATGTAATGAGCTAGTTTTGAGATCGCTCTTGCAATGCGTTCCACATACAAATAACTCAACTCTTATTATGCATGATCTTGTTCACGATCTCGCCCAATCAATCATGGAGAACAAAGTTCCTGGAACACAAGTCCAAAGGACAAACTTCAGAAGTGCAGTGTCGTCTAATAGCAAAATTCGCCAGGTAAATTTGAGGAAAAAGTTCATTCTCTTTCCTACTAGTAATCAACCAGAGATGGACATGCCTCTCGTCTTGAATAACTTTTTGCGTTTGAGAATATTAGATGCAAGTTATACAGGGATAGAAAATTTGCCTTATGTGGTAGGCAATCTGAAACATTTGCGACACTTGAATTTGTCTGGATCTGAAATTCGTAGCCTACCCGACTCGCTATGTAGTCTTTGGAATTTGCATGTTTTGAATTTGGATGGCTGCAGAAAGCTAGAGGCTTTACCGAAGAAGATGAGGTACTTAATTAATCTCCGTCATCTATTTTTGGAAGATTGTGAATCATTAACGGAGATGCCATCTAAAATTGGAGAACTTACTAGCCTTAGAACATTGAGTTTGTTCATAGTGGGTCATAATAAAGATAGTCCACTTGAAGAATTGAAATGCTTGAAGCTGGGTGGTAAGCTTAGAATTCGTAATCTGGAGAGAGTGAAAAATCCTATGGATGCAAAGAAAGCAACTCTTGCTGAAAAAGAAAATCTTCGTCATTTGTGTTTAGAGTGGAAGCCTGAGAATACTGCATCAAAATCATCGGAGGAAGAAGATATAGTGAGAGATGAAAAGGTGTTGGAAGCACTTGAGTCTCACCCAAATCTTGAAACTTTAGATATAAAGGGATTCAGGGGTAGGTGTTTTCCAGTTTGGATGTCGAATTCATCTCTGGAGAAACTAGTTGGAGTATATCTAAAAAATTGTGAGAATTGTTTGCATCTTCCACAGCTGGGAGAGCTACCTCATCTTAAATCCTTGAGTTTAAAGAATCTCGCTCGGGTGGAGTACATACTTGAAGATCAAAGTGGAAATCGATCAACGAGCGTACAACAGTTCCCATCTCTGGAAACACTGTATTTAACAACTCTCCCCAAAATGAAAGGGTTGTTAAAGGAGCAAGTGACGATGGGATCGGCTGAAGCATTCCCAAATCTCGAGGAGCTACAGATACTAGACTGCTCTTCGTTAAAACTGCCACCACTCTCGTCATCTCTTAAAAAGTTGAAGAAATTGGGATGCAGTAGCTTAACTCTGGCGTCATTGTCTGACGTGGATCTGAACACTCTTACCGAACTTTTCGTGGACTTCAAGGAGAATACGGCGACATGTATCTCAATTGAGACT